AGGAACATTCATAACAAGCGTGTCACTCTGATTTTCAGGGTTTTCGTTCCCAGAAACTAAAATCAGAAAAGCTTGACCCAAATTGCAGAAGTCTGTGGGAGACTGCGCTACAGCAATGTCCTTGACTAGGCCCTGCTGACAAGGGCAGCCTCCAGCCACTGTCCCCTACAGAAGCTTCACAGAGGCCCTGTGGGTGCAGCAGGCCACAGTGGCCACTATCAGGGGACTGCAGCCAAGGTGGAGGTGCGCTCCAGTCAGCCACTTTATGGTCAACAGGTGGCGGGTGGGGGGCTCTTTGTTTCCCCTTATCTCTATAGGGGCCTCGCTGAAGGTATTAGCTTGCTAATGGAACCCACCAGCCACCCGTGGGAGACAGGTGGGCAGCCTCGTCCTGAGAAGAGTAACAGCCTCGGAGACCTACGGAGGGTCACTGCCGACGTCCGCTCCGAACCAGCTCCACGGCAGCAGGACAGGCTTTGGGTTTTATTTGACGTCTCTCTTCCTAAGACCCACTGCACCTTGCTTCTGGGAGAGCTACTTGCTTTTTCTGGTTGCTCTATCTGAACATAGAATAACTGCTCAGAATAATCCATATGCTCAAATTCAGGTGAGTTTTGACGATCCTAACGGTGCATCCATTCCCGGGCACACAATGGGCTTTGTCGGCCGGAGCCTGGCACCCTCCTGCCACCAGCTGACAGTCAGTGCAGGGAAGGTAGGAATCCTCACCCCATCCCTGTGGATGTGACCCCACTGGGAAGGGAGGGTTCTCTATGTCCAGCTTTCCCAGTGCAGGGTGGGTCCTAGGCCTGGTCTCTGACACGGGTAGTACAGACACACAGACAAGGTGATGTAAACGGAGACGACGTGCCAAGGGAGAGCACCAAGACTGAGAGAAAGCAGGGTTCCAGGAGCAAGACAAGGCCCTGCCCCAGAACCCACATAGGGCTGCCCCAGCCGGAGCCCCATTTCGGGTTTCTATGTCCTGCAGCCCTGGACTTGTCCATGCCAAGAAATCTGAATGGTAGCTACATAACCAGTTAACTGGAAGAGATCCACACTTCAATCCATTTTAAAAGAGGCAACCCAACAGATGCAGAAATCACCCAACAGCAAAGTCACCAGTATCACCCAAGTAAAACACTGCAGAAGATTCTTTAAAAATGCTTGGAGCAGAACTACCTACCAGAAATTTAAGCTGGATTTAGAAGAGACCTTGAAATAAAGGACCTCATTGCTGACATCAGATGGATCTTGTATAAAAGCAGAGAATAACAGAAAGTCATTTTTGGATTTTATATGCTATGTAAATGTATTAGACTGTAAGAGTCACAATAATTATGAACAATTGAGAAGAATGGGAATTTCAGGAGACTTAAGTGAAACCTTTCACTTGCAACCATGAATCAGTCTTTGAAACAGAACAAGGGGACACCACGTGGTACAAGATCAGGAGAGGCTGATCCTTTCGACATACTTTTCCACTCCGTATGCTGAGCAGATAATTTGACCAAGTGCTCTATTTGAAGAGTAGTGTGGCATCAGGACTGGAGGAGGACTCATCAAGTTACACAGGTGACACAGCTTTGCCAAAAGTGAGGAAGACTTGAAGCATTTACTGAAGAAGTTCAAAGATTATACAGCAACATTAAGAAAACAAACATTCTCACAACTGGACCAGTAAACATCCTTATAAAAGCAGAAAAAAAATTAAGTTCTCAAGGATTTCATTTTACTTGGACCAACAATCAACACTAACGGAAGAAACAGAAAAGAAATGAAGTGAAAGGTGTGTGATAAATAACACAAAAACTAATGCCCCTTTCTCTCTCCTCCCTTCCCCTCCCTCCTCCTCTCCCCCTGCTCCCTCCCTCCCTCCCCTCATTGCCTTTGAGCTTCCAGATAGAACTGTCTCTTAGCTGAGCCTCCCTTCAGTGGGTCTCTAACCTTGTCAATTGCAAGGAAGGAGATGACACATTTTCCCCATCAAAGTTTCCAGTGACTTCCACCAACCAGAGAGGTGCAGCTACCGGGCTGACAGTACAAGTCCCCACAGCCTGGGTCAGCAGGCTGCCCCTGGGCTGAGATGACAGGATGAGGGACATCCCGTGGACTGCCAAAGAGCAGCCAAGAGGTTCCTTAGAAGCAAAGGTGGAGAGACTTCACCTCACACACTTTGAGTGTGTTATCAGGAAGGGTCAGTCCGTGGAAGGGGGGCATCATGCTGGGAGAAGTAGAAGTTTGGAGAACAAGAAGACCAGGAATGAGTTGGGTTAGCACTGCCCCTAAAACAGGTGTAAGCCCACCAGAGAGGTGAGAAAGGTTCAGGGCTGCGTGCTGTTGTACACAGGTCACCGAGCATCAGAGCTGATTCAGTGGCACCTAAACACCTTTTGACCTGTGAGAAGATCAGTATCTGTTTCTGAGGTCACTCCTGGGGTGTCTGTGTTACAGCAGCACTGGGAGACTGAGGCAGATGGGGACTGACACACAATTCACATCACCAGAGGCTGGTGGGAGACCAGGGGGTCTCCAAAGAACTACCTTGTGCACGCCAACAACCACATATCCAAAGGTCTCACTGTTGGCTGCTTCAAATGCAACATGGTGTTGCGTGTACGAATCCAACACTGAGACATCTGTTTCAGCTCGGAGGTTGGTCTGTGTTGCTCCAGCAACCTCCAGGTCTTGAACTTCAGGTAAGCTTATCCACACACGGTGCAGGCAGGCCTGGAGATATCACAGCTGCTGTGCACTCAGCCAGTGTGACCCCACAGGCAAGTCACGTGAGTGTGGGGTTACCAGCACAAGTAGCAGTTATGTTTACCCTGAGCTGTCACCCAGTGACTGTGACACTAGTCAGAAAGCAAAGCTTGGAATTGAGAGTGCGTCGCTTTAACCTAACACAGGAGTGTCTGCGGGCTGAGAGACCAGTAAACAATCAGAAGTCATCCTTAATAAATGCTGAAGAACAAAGGTTTTTAACCAAAATCTTGACACAGCTGTAAAACAGCCATCCCGAGAGATGGCAGAGTGTATTATTTATTCTCCATTCACACCCTAAACTTGCTCGGAGACAAGGTGTATGTCCAGTGACTCATCAGGTCAGTGGATGACGCCACAGCCCCATGTGGAGAGAGACCCCAGGAGACTCGCCTGGGGCAGAGCTGAAGGCCCCACACAGTGTCCAGATGGGAAAGCACCAACCGAAGGCCTCCGTGTTCTCGCCTTGAAATGGCCTGTCCACATGGGGCACCTGTTCACACAGCACGTGCTCGGGACAGATGTGGGAGGCAAGGAGGCTGCTAACTTAAAGGTCAACAGTTCAAACCCACTGGCTGCTGCAGGGGAGGCAAACACCCCACCTCCTTCTGTAAAGGTTTACAGCCTCAGAAAGCTGGCAGGGCCCTCCACAAGCCAGGACCAGCTAGACACGACTGGGCTAGCATTATACTATTTAAGGTGAGCCAGGGAGTTAAGTCTTATACTACTAAAAGGTCAATGGTATGAATCTACTGCCAGCTCTGTGGGGAAGAGGCGGGCAGCTTCTTCTGTGTGATTTATAGCCTCAGAGCCCTGAAGGGGGACCAGCTAGGAGCCCGTTCCAACTCGACGCAGTGAGTGTTTGTGGCCCATAAGCTCTATTCCATGTGCACATGTTTGGCTTTATCTTAGACGTCTGTTCTCAGACGCTGATACCTTGCCTCGCCACCCTGCACTGCACACCTCCACGGCAGGGCATCATGAGTGAGACTAGTGCAGGTTCCTGTGGTCACCAACAGTCTAATGATTCAATACTTCCTCCTCCAAAATCTCCATTGATGGCTTCCTGCATTCCATGAAAAACTCAAGTATGATAAAGCTGTCAGAACGGCACACTCATTCCACACCCTTTCACTGGAATTTCTCCACCTGAGAAAGGATCTTGCTGCTTCCCCACTATTAACCCCCACGGGGGGAATGGGGGCTGACACAGTGTGAAAGCAGAGTTCACAGACAGACTCACAGACAGGCCAAGGGCAGGGTGGAGCTCCAAGACCAGCCTCCCTCCTCAGAGCCACCATCTCCACACCAACACATCTCTACACATCTCATCTGATCGAGAGTACGTATTACCAAGGCTCAGGACTCCCTTCCACTTCACCTATGGGCTCCCACCTCACCCACGGGCTCCCACCTCACCTACCAGCTCCCAGAGCTCCCACCTCACCTACGAGCTCCCACCTCACCTACGAGCTCCCACTTCACCTATGGGATCCCACCTCATCTACAAGCTCCCACCTCACCTATGAGTTCTCATCTCACCTACGAGCTCCCACCTCACCTATAGGATACCACCTCACCTACCAGCTCCCAGAGCTCCCACCTCACCTACTGGTTCCACAGGCTGTGATTGTTTGGCTGAGGGCCTCAGGCAGGCCACAACACTCCCTCCTCATAGACAGCACACCCCACATGTACAAAGAGCCAGGCAATGGCCCCACAGTGGACTGTCTTACCCTGTATGCAGAGGGCTTAGGCCGTGGTCCCACAGTCTACAGTCCCCTGTCCCTATGTGCAGAGTGCCCAGGCCAGTAGCCAGGAGGGAGGCCTGTCCAGACCCACAGTGGCCTTGCCTTCCTCACACTGGCATGCTCTTGACCATGACATCCACTCTTGTGCCATGTTTGGTGCTTGTTCTCCACCACGCTCCATGTGAGAAGATGTCACGTCTCTGCGTGGCCCCACATCACCCCTGGCACACAGGCCCTCGCTCTCTAAGAGTCAGTCCTGTGAGGTCTCCACTCTCCAAACAGAAGCACCACAGGTGCTCGAGGGCAGAGCACAGTGCTGACACAGCAAGGCCTGGCAATGGACAAGGTGCAGATCACCCCGAGGTGTCGGTCTGCGGGCTCGATGCACGAACCAGGGTGAGGATGATGATGATGCGAGGACGCTCTGTCCACACCTGTGGATGCAGGTGCAGCACCTGACCCTGACCCCAACCCCTCTGCACTCACCTGAGAGCGGGGCACTCCGCAGCGGGATTCTGATGGGTGCCAAGGTCACAAAGTGGTATGGCTGGACGCTGGCAGGGGACAGGCCCCGGAGTCCCTCAGGGTCCACAGACACCATAGCAGCAGCAGCTGCAGTGGCAATGGCAATGGTGGGGCCACCACCTGCTGGCTTAAGGCTGCTGAGGCATCCACCTGCAGGAGACAGACAGGAGGGTCAGCTGAGCATGGGGACCTGGGGTGGAGCAGTCACCTCGACATTGTGAGCCACACTGGGGTGATGGGGGATGAGGAAGCCGGTGTCACCAGGACCAAGTCAGGACTTCAGACACATTCTCTGTTGGGCTTTGCAAATGTGACTACACCCCCATCTCTCTCTCTCTCTCTCTCTCTCTCTCTCACGTACTCACCACACCACACATGCACACAGCACACATGTACACACTGAGCTGCAGGCCAGTCTCAGGGAGCCCCTTTCCTCAGGAAGGACAGGGTGTTTTGCTTAAACGGGAGTGACTTCACTTTTTAGGAGCCCTGGGCTGTGCAAACGATTCACACACTCGACTGCTGATGGTGCAGGTTCACGGAGGAGGGACCACAAAAGACACACCTGGAGGTCTACATCTCAGATCACAGCCTTTTGAACCTCACAGAGCACAGCTCTGCTGACTTGCTGGGCTTCCCTGTAGCAATTAGACCCAGGAGAAATCCACAGGGTCATGGAAAGTGGACAGTGCAGTCATGCCAGCTCAGAGTGCTTCAGGATGGAGTCCACACACTCCAGGTCGGAGACAGGGCTGTGCACACAGGGCACTGTGTGCAGCCCGTGCCCTCCCAGCAGGCTGGCCCCTCTGTGCATGGGTCCCCAGGAGTCAGGCTGGCCCAGTGCAGCCAGTTACAAAATAGTCATACTGAGAAGGACCATCTCAGGCCATCCAGAGGGTCACATCACTCTGAGCAGGTAAAGCAGGTGATAAATCAGACCCGTGTCCACACAGTAGAGCATCCTCCCACAAGCATCTGCGAGGCAGGTGCCGAGGCTGCTCCGGGTCGTGGAGGAGCCATTAAGTCCCGGGCTCCGGTGGGTGCACATGCTGTAGCCAGTCACTCGCTTACATCTCCCCGTTGGCTCGGTTTATGTGACCAGCTGAGGGTGCACCAGGAAAGTGCAAATAGGACGGGGTTTAGTGTTGTGGCGGGTTCTGCTCTTAGGCAGCGGGCTCAGGGAGGTCTTTTCCAGGAAGGGGGTGCCTGCACAAGGCCTGAAGGTGAAGAAGGACGCCTGGGACCCCTGGAGAGGGCTCGGTGGAGCCAGCAGTAAAGCAGTGAGTGCAGCAGCCCTGGGCGAGAGGCCTGCCTGCGTGGCCCCGGTGCATCCCAGGCAAGTACCAGGACTCAGGTGTGTCTCAACTCTGTCCCTGATGTGTCTGCGTTGTAGCTCAGGTGTGTCTCAGGTAAGTCTTGGGACTCAGGTGTATCACAAGTCTGTCCCAGGTGTGTCTGCATTGTATCTCAGGTGTGTCCTAGGTGAGACCCAGGAGCTACATCAGGTCACAGTGGCTGTGGAGGAAACATGGGTAATATCAAGGCAGCAATGAGACCACCAAGGGATACCCCAGAAGGGCCGTGTTTCCCAAGAGAGGGGACCAGTGGCTGTGACAAGGTGCTTGGGCCTGACAGCGGTGCAGGACAGGTTCAGATCTGTCCTTCGCTGGGTCACGATGAGTCAGTGTACTCTACAGCACCACCACCAGCATCTGACAGCACTGGGGGTGCTGCTCAGCTGACCAAAAGGCTGCCCCCCAACAGTGGTCTGAACCCACCGCAGCTCCTCAGGAGGAAAAGGGCCAGTCTCCACCCACGCAGCTGGTGGCCTCGAAAACCCAGCAGCGGCTCCGCTCTGAGTCGTATCCGGCTCCATGGCCACGTGCAGTGTGATCATCTAGAGACGCCTGTGAGCTCGCCGCTGCCAACCGAGGACAGTGGCGGCTCCGCAAAGTTCAGGTTCCACAGCAATTCCGTGGAGAGAGAAGGGCAGTAACAAGGAACATCATCCTCAAAGAGCTGCCTCCACACAGGCCCCCGTTCACGGCCACGGCCAGTCCCAGCAGTAGCCATTTCCTGTACCTTCACAGGAGCCATCGACATCTCCACATGCCAGCCTGGGGCAGAAACGACAGTGCCAGGGCAGAGCTGCCCACACTGGGTGCCAGCTCCCAGAAACACTGCTTGGGCTGAGTCAGGGGGAGGAGGTGGAATGACAGACGGAGCAGCTGGGGGAGGGCAAGTCCCCCTCCCACCCCCCCCCAGGATGACAGGGCCCTCAGGTAAACAGGTGCCAGAGTGTGCGCTAGCACAGTGGGAGGTGTGAGCTGAGAAGGAGCCCATCTGCAGTCCACCAGGATTATCTGTGACATTTTAAGCAAATCAGTCATTAACCCTGTGCTGCCCTGAGGACCTGTGGGAGGGACAGCCCAGCTGTGAGAGCCCAAAGCTCAAGCCTGGGCCACCACTACCACCTGGCCACTCCACAGTCACCCTCACCCTCAGATGTCACCCACGGCCACCACTGCCACCTGATCATTCCACAGTGACCTCACTCTCAGGTCCCCTCCAGGTCACAGCCCCCATCCCTAGCCAGAGAAGAGAGGTCCAACTACATCCGGGGACGTAGCCCTCCCACTGCTGGCCAGATGAGGCATTAGTAGCTGGCATTTGCTCCTGGATGGAGCAGGGTGCAGTTCTGCCCAGGCCAGCGGTGCCTGCAACGGGACATCTGGGTTGCAGAGAGGGCAGAGGCTGTCAAGTAAACAACAGGCTGAACTGGAGAGTCTGTGCCAGAGAGGAATCCTAATTCCACAAACACCAGCTGTTGTGTCGTCTTTGCTGAGCAACATCTTCATAGAAAATCACATCGCTAGTCTGCTGGCTGTTTCGGTGGTGATTTCAGCTCCTGTGAAGCTCCTTCGGGCACTAGATCTGCTCGCCATGAGCATCGCCACCGAAGTGGGTGCTGGGTCTGCCGTTGCTGCGGGCAGGGCTGTGTGCTGGGCTCCTTGTATCTGCAGGTGGAAAGTGGGCATGTGGGGCACAGAGGGGCTGGTGCTGCCCCGGGAGGGAGGTCCAGCCCAGGGCTGGTTTCCGTGTTAGGCTGCACACTCTGGCCCGTCGCTACCATCACCCCTAGCGCCCAAGCCAGGCCCTCAAGCACTCATCTCCTTCCTCTGAGCTCCCTGTGAAGAGTGCCTGGTCAACGCCCCCTCTGCATACTTAGCTCCTGTGGACATCTCAGAAGGAGCCCTGCCGGCCTAATGGATTACGTGCTGGGCTACTAACCAAATGGTTGGTGGTTCGAACTCACCCTCTGCTCTACAGGAGAAAAATAGGTGAGGTGGTGTGCTCCCCCTAAGATTCAAGCTTAGGAAACTCAATGGAGGATCGCCACGCATTGGAGTGCACTAGTGTCCTGTTACGCAGGTGGACAATCTCCCCCTTTTACAGTCACCTGTTGGCGGGGCTCTGACTGTCTGCAGCTCGCACTGAAGCGTTGCCCTGGACGAGTGTGCACCTCTCCCTGTACACCCTGCCGTCATCTGTCGCGTCTGGACCCAGGAGGCAGCAGCTGGTTCTTACTGCAGCTTCGTGTTTGACTTTTCCAGGAAGAAGGAACATCATGCTTTCGAGTCTTGGTGTCCAGCGGGAAGAATAAGGGAGGTGGTCAGAACTGCGCAGTCCTCCTCTGAAGAACTAGCAATGGTCTGAGCTGTTGATGCGAAGCAGTTCCCGGACTTTGTGTGTCTACTTTAGTGATGACCCAGGAGACATCAGTGCTGAGTGTGTAACTCATCCTGGCAAAGCAGAGCCCCGGGGGAGTCAGTGGTCCTGATAGCAAGCACCCCATAGTCTCTTACACAAGAAACTCCCGCCAGCCAGGTGCCAGCCAGGCACTGAAATTCACAAACCAGAGATGAACCTGGGCTATAAACCTCTCAGCTCCAAACCCAAAGTAACCCACATGCCACCTACGCATTTCCAACATCTAGTGGTCCATTCTGAGTTTAACTTTTTTCTGTTTTTATATTTAAATATATTCCTTACATAAGGGGCACTGAGGGCCTAGTAGTAAGAAGCTGGGCTGCAATCCCAAAGGCGTGTGGTTCGAATCCACCAGTTGCTCCTGGGAGAAGGACGGGCAAACTCCCTTGGGAGATTTATTCCCTTTGAAAACTCCCTGGAGGGTGAGCTCGAAGTCAGTCAGTCCCACCTGTACAGTAATGAGGCAGGGCAGGGGGAACAGCGCCTTAGAGCCCCTGAGGGTGAGTCCATCAGGAAGAGCAGGCGGCCTCGCCTTCCCCGAGGGGCAGCCGGCCACTGGAACCACCAGTCAGCACCTAAGTGCTTGACCAGCGCACCCAGGGCTGCTCACCAGGACCACTGGGTCGCCAAGTCCAGTCCACTGCCCATCAGCCTGCAGGATGGGGGACTGTTAAGTGGGTCTTTGGGGCTGAGCTGTCACAGAAGCAGACCTCACCTCTTCCTGCTGCACCCCAGGGCTGGAGCGGGGGCTCTGCTCCCCAGCACAGCACTGTCCTCCCCCTCAGGACAGGACCACACTGGGCCCACTACCAGCCTGGGGCAGACAGGCATGGCCCTCCATCAGCCGCCCATGTCTACCCAGAGGTTGACGAGGAGGTGCTGACCACAGGGCCCCAAAGTCCCTCCTCCACATTTCCGAGGAAAGGGGCACAAGGAAGGGCAGTGAGGGGGCCAGTCTCCCCAGATGAGAAGCCCAGCGCACTTACCATGCAAGCTAGCCCTTCTGTGACAGAACCTAGGGAGACCAGATGAGAGCTTACCGCTGCTAACACAGTGAACAACTTACTTAGTTTAGAAATACTAATTTATGGTTATTTTTATGATTCCATATAACTTTGTGCACTATCATTTGAATATTCATTTTATTAAAACCAGAGATTAATTGCACTACCCCATTGAACAAACAGCTGTTAATACCCGTGATGCGAAGGCCCTCATTACTGTATCTGCTGGAACCGGGTAGGAGGGGCCGGCAGGGCAGCTGTTCTTCCCAGGATACAAAGACCTCGCACAGCAGCCTCGAACACGAACACGCACTGTCAGCCCAGCCTCCAACTCAAGCAGCCTCTGGGCACCCACCTGCTGGGATGCGTAACTGG